AGAGCTGTCACAGGATTTGTTGATGTCTAGCTAGCAGGATCCAAAAAAGTAATTATTTATTTGGCAGAATTCAGTATTTTGACCACTCAGGAAGATTAAATAATTTGCCCAAGGTCCAGTTAGTAAATACACTATTCATTCTATTCTGTGAAAGGGCATGGAAAAAAACTTGCCGTGACCTGGTCCAATAGGGTACCCAATTAGCCATTCTCCACTTAGATTCAGGCACAATGAGTTATCTTTTGATGTCTTGCTTTCTAGGTACCTTGATAACAGAAATACTATCCCAGATAGCATTCTTTGTATTCACTACTACAAATTAGTAAATTGGCAATTTCATCAAGATGCCTGCCAGATTTCTCACTTAAATCAGCTTCTCCGATCTTGATGATACTTAGATGAACTGAAAAATTTTCAATTTCAAGCTTAGAAAAATGATCCACGGCAACCTAATCAAGAGCAAAACACCCAGTGAAAAATGCCAGCTGGCCTTTTTTCTTCTTAACCACCAAACTGGTTACCACATTTCAACAATAATGTTTGCTTAAAAGCCTAATGGTCCAAAAGATATAAAGAGAATTAAATATGTGTTTTACTTGCTTTATCAATAATTTCAGATCTCAGACAGTCGCTAATCCAATAAAGTATTAAGTGGACCTTAATTCTTATCAATAAGGAGGAATTTATTTATCATCTGACAATGGTAAGGACCTTGGGGTAACATGTATTTTTTTATACATAATGCCTGATATTTGATAAATATTTATTAGTCCTGCTCAGACAAGACTACATGACTGGAAACCAAGATAAAAAGTAGAAAGTAGAAACAACCCCAGATCCAGATGTAGGAATGAGTTGACACACACTTTAAAGTGTCCATGGTTAATAGGGTAAAAAATTATAGCAAAGGGGAGAAAGGATAAGAAAGAGAATTTCATCAGCAATTGAAATCTAATAAAAAAGAACCAACTGGAAATTTCATAACTGAAAAATAAAAATTCTGAAATGAAGTTAGTAATAAAAAAATTGAGAAAAAAATGCAGTTGGCAAATATTTGAATTCCCTTATTAGTGCAAATTAGAGAAGTGCATAATTAAGAAATGGGAGAATATATACTGAACAAAGTAAAAATGTAAGATAGTTTAGATAGACAGATGCATAGATAGATACAAAGATGATAGTTAATTTATGTTCTAAATGTTCCAAGCAACAGTATAACATAAGAACATGGGCAAATTGCTTAGCAAGTTTCCTCTGATGCTTAAAGATAGTATTAGATAAATTAGAATTATTCAATGTATATTTTGTTTCCACATAGATTTAGCAAGAATGGTCTTCAAACAACAAAGGTTGAAACAAGGAAGATAAAAACCAAGTTGCAACTCTAAGCATTATAGGTGAGGGTAGTTAGATGGAACCTAATTCATACAAATGAATTCAGGCTCCAGACTGAGTTCAATCATATCTCAGAGCACTGAGAAAATTGCAGATGTCAGTTATAGTTGCAAATCTACAGAAAATAGGAGAAGGGCCAGAAAATTAGAGAAAAGAAAAATTCTTTGACTTTCAAATGGGGAAAAAGGATGGACTACATAATTGATAGATGGGAAAGCTTTACGGTGAAGACCAGTGCCATAAGTTCATCATTAATCAATCAGTTTGTGATCACTTTGGAAAGAATCCCTTGATCACTAGGAGTCAACCTGATTTCTGTCAGATTCTATGTATATAATTGATAGGATACTAGGTAAATAAACCTCCCTTTGAGCAGTGTCTCCCATTATAGACTTAAGGAAAACACTATGAAATCATGGTTGAATTAAAGTATGATTTGAAATGTCCATGATTGTCTAAAGAACTGGCTAACTGATTGCTTAATGGCTTGGGATGTCAATCTGCCCCTTAGACACTTTTATTAATTATCAAATTGTAGCTAGAAGTCTTCCTTATCAATGTATAGAATTAAACCCAGGAGAGATGGTTAATATAGTAGATAGCAGGTCCAAAATTAGTTTGACGAGATGGAAACATGGGGGAAAGACTAACCAAATGACATTAAATAGGAATAAATATGATCCACATTTGTATGTAAAAGACACATAGCTGACAGACATAAGATGGGAGAGACCTAGCTTGGCAGAAATTGCAATATAAATGTATGAGAGTTTTATTCAATCCCAAGCTCAATATGAATCAGCAGGGTGAAATCCTGCCTGAAAATACTCGCATACTCTTAGATCTCATTAGTAAAGAATGATGCCCACTTTGTTTTTCTCTGTGTTTAAATTGTACTTCACTTTTTGCGAATTTTATACATTTTATGAATGATTTCACAAGTCATAAAACATTCTGGGAGGAAGGATCAGGATACAGAGAGAAATGGAGCTCCCTCATAAATGACAGAAAGGATTTGTCTGTGGTTAGCCGCAGTGAAGACTCAGATTAGACACAGGAACTATTTCCTATGTTTGAAGGACTTTCATGTGTAAGAGGAATAAAATATGAATACTCTTCCCCCTGTATAGATAAAGAGGGTTAGAACTAGATGTGAAGACAGATTTCACTTAACATTAAAACAAAAGTTTTCTAGTAGCTGGCATTTTCTAACAATGAAATGATCCATTTAATTAGGAAAACACCTGAAATATTGAAGAAGAGGTGGATTAGCCATCTTTTAAGAATTCTGTAGCGAACTTTATATGGGTCAGAGGTTAATATTAGGATTCTAGAATATTTTATCAATACAAGTGGACAACTAAAGTTTAGGGTATATTTCTAAATATATTGGAGTTTCACTATAAAAAGACTGCTATAGCAAGAAATTCTTCAAAATGAAGATGCATCCGAGATGTTGTCTTTAGCCCCTGAAAATTTTGGAAGGACCTTGTTGCATGCTGTCATCATAACTTAGAACTTTTGGGTGAACTGCTATGTAATAACAAAAAATATTGCATTTGGGTTATAGTCACTCTTCTTACTAGTTAAAATAACCTTCATGTTATAAAGTCACAAGAGGTCTAGGATTAAATAAACATATAAATGCTGGGCTTCAGGACTGTTCTAGGTTGAATGAAGCTAAAAAGAACTTTCTAAATCCTCACTGCTGATTAGTTGATAGTTGAACTTTTGAATTGATGATTTTGACTTTGACAAGTAGTCCTTGCAGAAGGTGTGACTCACATAATGTCATTCTCACCATATTTATTAAATTAAGGAAGTCAAGCCCTAGGTCTTGGGTTAAAAAACCCCTCTTTAAGAAGAGCTGCCACTGCTCAGCAGAGTCAGGTCGGTGTCTGGCTTCGGCAGTATCCTCTTCCCTCCGCGGATTTTCAGTTTGGTAAAACTCCTTTAGGCTCTGACACTGCTCCTCCACCTAAAAATAAAAAGAATAGAAATGTAAGTTAATAACACTTAAAAACATTTTTAGAGAAAAAATGACTCTAGATTCTAATAAGAGCCTATATAAAAATTAAATGGAAAGTACATCTCAGAATTCTTTAAATAACTATTGAATATTGTAAAATTTACTGAGAAGATGTAAAAATCTATTTCAGTTGTTGACAGACAGGACTACCCCTGGGTAGTAAATTGAGCTGACACACTTATTACCTATAAGGCCTACTTACTATAGCCAAAATCTTATTTATGTATTATATATATATGCATGTTTCGCAATTGGGGACAATTTATGTCAAATACCAGTATGAACCATTTAAAGCTGAGTTTTATAATTCAGAAGAAAGTTATATATATGTATATATATATATATGTGAATATATATATACACACATATATACATAATTAAGGAATATGAATCAGAAAGAAATGTAAGTCAGTGAAAAAAATATTCATAAATCACAATTTGCTTCTAATAAGTGATAAACCAGAACAAGAGTACAAATAATTACTAATTTTTGGTGTATTAATATTAAACTGTTCCCATGAGCAAATCTTATTGTGATACATTACTTTACCTCTTTATATTTTTTTCATGTTAACCCAATGTAAGCAATACTAGATTATTCGCAACCACTGTCTTTGAACAGAGCATATATAAAATCAAATGTGCCTGCAGAACTATAGATGAACATGGGATTGGCTGATGTAGAAATAGTAGAAAATTTTTGACACAAGTTTTTATGCATTTTGAACCATATTTAATGGCCAATAGGAGAAGACTCAAAGAGCTCATAGCTACCAAAAGCAATCTAAACAAGGAGAGAAGTTTCAGGCAATGGTTAGTCACTGTATTCTAAAGCTTTTAACAACGTTCTTAATGTAAATGAGCTTAATAGGAGAGCCTGCAAATGATGCTCAGAAACAGTTCTCTCCTCATTTCCCACATTCCATTTTTCCATAGCCTGGTTTAGCTGATGCTTGCTTCCTCAGCCCAGATGATCTATGCTCAGTTTTGTGCTCCTATTCATTCTTCAGGAGCCAGTTAACATGCTGTCTCCTCCATGGATTCTTTTAAGATTCCCTAGGAAGAATTAAGCATTTATTTCCTTGGGTTCCCAAAGATAGTTCTGGAAAAAAGAGAACCGAAATCAAGTTATTACGACACAAGGCCAAGTGTATGCACAATGTTATAGGAACACCGAGAAGGGACCACCAACGCCGCATCGAGTAAATAGAGGACTTCCCAAAGGAGGCGACATTGATTTGTGTCTTTTAGGATTGTCGAGGGTGAAGTGGAAGGAATAACTTGTGTGAAGGCACAAGTGGGAGAACACTGGTGGTTTGGAGCATGATAAATGCTCTAACTGTGGGGGTGACGTTTGGGTTGTGCAAGCTGATTGGTAAAAAAGAAGCTAGAAGGATAATTGTGTCAGGATAAAACCCACCAGCAAGTTTCAACTTGTTTTCTACTATAACCAACATGATGTGACACGTTCTCATTAGTTGAAGCAACTGATAGTTATCATGGTGACTCAGAATCAGCATGACAACCATCAGTAAGTGCTTCAGCAGCACTGTGCATGACAGGCTGGTATCAACTTGATGGGCTGTTAGTTACGTGCAATTCTCAAAACATGAACTGTAACTCATCTACCCTTTCCAACTGTTCAAAAAAGCCTCCCTGAGTGCAAGTGACAATGATAATATTATAGGAAATCCCTTTAATTTATTAGTTTATTTTTAAATGAATTAATGATCAACTTTAATATTTTATCCACTTTTAGTAAAAGTTACTCGCACCTTGCTTCATAAATTACATTTGTCCAATTGCATGAATTTCAGGAGGTAACATGATTAGATTTGCTTCAGAATGACCATTTTTGGAAAGGAGGAGTGAAGGGGAAAATGGCAAGGAGAAGAGAGAACAGGCAGAGGCAGCCTCTCTACGTTTGGCAAGAGACGATGAGGACCTGAGCCGAGGAAGGCATGGTGCAGAAGGAGAGTTAGGGGACTTCAGGAACCTTTTAGGTTGTGTCTCTAGAGAGACACAGGATAGCATGGCCTTTGAAATAGGAAAAAACAAAAGGGAGGAAACGGGATTAAACTTGGGCTTTAATGTTTACTAGCTGTTTAATCTCATATACCTAACTTCTCAGAGCCCCGAGTTTCCCTCATTTGTAAATAGGGATAATAGTAAATAAACACAGAGGTGTTGTCAGGGTTAAATAAAATCTGGAATGAAAAGCACAGGGCCTGGTACAAAATAAGTGCACACTGAGAGGGCCTGGGGAAAGGCTTTGAAGCTTCTGTACAGGACTTGTGAAAAAATGGTGGCGTCTGTACCCCAGTGCCAAAATACAGAAAGAAAACTTGTTTGAAGGAAAGATAGCTCGTTGTGTTTTGTTGAGTTTCAGGAGCCCACAGGATACATAGGTAATTATTATGACCGGAAGTTGAAAACATTGGTCTGGAGCTTAGAGGTATTGGAACCATTCCTGAGTTATTGGTGAATTGAAACCATATATGGAGGGGGGGGGGTGATTTTTGTAAGAGAAGTATGTACAGTGTGCAAAAGAAAGAGCATAGGCAAGAACTCTGGGACCCAACATACTTCAGGAAAAGAGAACTGGGTTAGGAAAAAGGAGAAGGACTAGATAAAGTAGACAAAATGATTCCACTTATGTGAAATACCCAAATAAGACAAATCTATAGAGATAGACAGCAGACCAGCGCTTGCCTGTGGCTCGGAGTGGAAACCAGGATTGACTAAAAATGTGCACCAGGGCTCTTTTTGGGATGATGGAAATATGCCAACACTGGAGTACAATGTGGTGTCACAACTCAACAAATACATTAAAAATCATTCCAAAACAGGTCAATTTTAGGCTATGTAAATTATACCCCAATAAATGTTTGGGTTTTGTTTGTTTGTTTGTTTGTTTGTTTGTTTTTAAGGCAAAGCAGGTAAGAATAACTGGATAAAATGAATGTGGCAGAGAGATTAAGCAGGGTGAAGACTGAAAATAACACCACTTCATTTGTCAACATGAGGAAGTAGCTTACCGGAACATTTTCAGTGGAGCAAAGAGGTGGCAGATGGCAGGATTGAAAAGAAAATAAGCTAAACTGCCATGGGATGAGGACTGGGGAGGCTGAGTGAGTAGAGGCAAGAAATGTCATCTTCCTATTGTAAGAGTCCAGATGTGAAGGGAAGGAAAATTATAGACTGGTTGCCTTCATAAGGACAAGACGATTTGGGCATAACAGTAGACCAAAGGGAAGGAAGCAATGCAAAAAGCAAACTTGAAAAATTAGAGAAGGTGGCTAGCGCTAGATTCTGAAGGATATGGGAGCGTACAGGGAGTGGTTGATTTCTGATTAGTACTGGACAGAAGTAGGGACTTCACTTTATTGGCGATGATGGGGGTATATAAATATTCCAATTGGTTTGGAGGCTGAAGGAAGTCAAGGCAGTTAGGCTCAATGGCCTAATTTTTAATTTTTATTTTTCCAGTCACATATGAGGTAAAGGCATTGGCTGAGCTTTCAGCATGGAAGCTGGAGTAAGACGTTGGAGAATCGCTACTGACTGGGTGCCGACTAGGGAGCATATGGCGGAACCAGCTGAGATAGAGACCCATAAATCTGTAACAGTGCCGATCAGCCCAATTGTACAGTTTTCCACAGGAGCGTCTGGAAGCTTGGAAAGAAAAGCTAAGTAAACAAGAGTGTTGGATTGATCTAGTATTAGGCATTGGCAGAGGGAGTCAGGGTGGAAGGCAGGAAGTGGAGAGCATGGAGAATGGAATGCAAATGAGTAACCAGGAGCTGGTGAGGAAAGAAGGAAAACCTGAGTGGGTAGGAGAGTGACAGACTGAGAACACTGCCAAAATTAGGAAGACAGAAGGCTCTGCCAGTAGGAAAATAGATTAAGTGAAAGCTGGGAAGATGAAAGGATGAAAGGTTGTTCTGAGGAAGTGTTGTTTGCAAAGCTAAGCTTTCAGCCCTAAACCCAAAGCTCCCCGTCCCAGAGGCCAGAGTGGGCCATGGAGGTGGTTACTGAACTCGATGACAAGATGGTGCATTTTTGGCAATGAAGACACAGGAAACAAGCACTCCTTTGGACCTTCTCCACCATTAAAAGTTCTGAATAAAAATGTTTACCAACAGGATAATCCTGTCAGTTGTAATACCTCTGCTGAACCATGAGCGGTTGGGGCTAAGAAAAACTTTAAAAAGCCAGAAATGATAGAAGGTGGAGTAAAGATGTAGAAAAGGAAGCAGTAATTACCTGAGAATTCCAGGGAGTGGACATGGCCTTCCTCCAACGGGGCAAGTATTCACAATATTCTAGAAAGCTGACAGGAAATGTGGGTAGGCCGGATGGTGGTGGTGGGAGGTGAAGGTGAAAGCGTTGGGAGGGTGGGGAGTGGAAATCTAGCATGCCACCTAACTTTGCTTGGCTTTCTCCTTGAGTGACCTTGCTGGCTCTACCTCCCACTGAACCTCTTGAAAGGAAGGTGAGCACCTGGGTGCCCTAGGACCAGAGTTGAATGATATAGGACCCTAGCACTTTTATAATACTGACATCATCTCCAATACACTGGGAACTGCGAGAGACGGAATCCTAGGCTACTAAAAGGAATTTTACAGACTGTCTATACTATACACCCCTGTCAAAATATTGCCTCAGAAGAAGCTCTCTGAGGTAACTTGTCAAGAGGCATAAAATATCAAACAAGACAGATTTGAGAATAGATCCAAAAGCCCATCATTTCCAACTCCGTGTATTTTAAATGAATCCTATGAATTGCTTAGGTATTCAAGGAGACCCAAGGTTTAGAAGATGACTTACTTTTAAATAATTTTGTTCTACATTTAGGATATTGTAAATACTTATAGGTTAAAAAGTGTTTCAACACAATCGCTTTGGGTTTTTGTGTACATATCTACACATACACACCATATTATGTTTTACTAAAACAGTTTACTCTTTTCGTCCTTGTGTGAGGCCTTGGTGAATGAAGGGCCTATAAGTGAGTACATGCACTGGGGTCCCATCCCCACAGAAAGCAGGAAGACGGGCAGAAGCCACCTTGCTGACAAAGGCCAGCACATCGGTACCATACCTCCTCTGATGACTTTAGAAATGCCACATAAGTTTGCAGGACTTGTGACCTGGAGGCGAGGCTTTGGCCAAGTACGCTTAATTCTTCCTTCAGCCATTTAGCTTTAAAAGAAAGCGATGCCACTTCATCAGGCTCAAATTCATTTTTCTCTGTCATAAGTTTTGCAGCTGCTTCTAATTCTTGTGCTGTGTCCTTTGAAAGTAAAGTACAGGGGGTCATACGCTGACAGAGGAATCATGAACATTTTATTACCTTCTGCACATGTGTCTATTATGATTATTAATTGAACTTGTACCAAGATTCTCTTCAATAAAAGAAAGACACAAGTTTCAAAAATAAAAAAAGGTATCTTAAAATTAAAATCATCTCAAATTATTCTTTCACTCTATCAGCTACACTTCTTATTTAACATCCTATTTTCTGTGTCACAAATAGAAGAAAAGTCGTTGGGTGGTAAAACAAAATGGCAGAAATGTTTTAAATAAATTAAATAAAGTTGTATACTAGAATTGCTTTATGAAATTAATGATAATAGCTCGAACAAATTCTTAAAACTAATTTTGTTATATTCGAGGTGACAAGTGTATAGGAATTGTTTGCTCATTTTTAATTTATATAAAAAATGACAAATCAATTATGTAATCTTATGTAAATTGCTATCTAGAAGGGTTTTTAAACAAGCGTAGGGGAAATGTTTGATATGAGGTCTAAATAGCCTAATGAGTCAGTGAATTTGACTTGCTTGGGGTTGATCTTTTTCTCTTGAGTGCTGTTTCTGTTATGTGAAATCTAACCACTGATTAAATGGGGGAGAAGGCATTGTAGGTATCACAGGTACGATTGCTAGAGAAAGAGTCATGTAAAATTTCATGGAGACCAAGCTAGGAATCAAGCAAAAGTGAAAGAAAAAAATCTCCATTCTCACTTGCAGCAAGAAGAAATGGCTTCCCTACTTGTGTTTAATATGTTTCCCAAGTCCTCCGCTAAATGAAGGCAATTTTAAGAGTGCTGCTTCAAATTTGTATTGTCTCAGCCCTTCCCCTTCTCCTTCACCCCCACCCCCACCCCCTCCCAACTAACAACCCTCAGTTCTTCCTCTGTGTCTCTGAGACTATCTCCATCCACAAATTGGTAATTGTAATATGGCCTCAGGGATAGAAAAAGACAGTCCGAGGAATATAATCTATAATGTTGTAAGTATTTCTTAGGGGGCCAGATGGACCCATGTCCTTTTGGGGAGTCCACTTCATAGTCGATGTAGAGGCCTGACCACCGCATTGTATTTCTGAAACTGATGTTGAATAATACTGTATGTCAACTATAATTATATATACATATAGTCTCAGGACATGGAGTAGAGAGCGGGAACGGATTCAATGGAATTGTAATAGATAAGCATGATATCGGGGGTGGGAGGGCAATAGGGGGGGGAGGGGGGTTGTTACCTGGTGAGGGTGAAAAGGGTAACTATTGTATTGTTCTGTACACCTGAAACTAACAATAAAAAATAAATAAATTAAAAAAAAAAAAAGAGTGCTGCTTCCAGACAGCACCCTGGGAAGAAGGAAGAAGGAGAGTTTCTCCCTGTGCAATTCCTTCCTTCCTTTTAAATTTTTTAAAATAAAAAAATGGGCTGACCGGTTAGCTCAGTTGGTTAGAGCGTGGTGCTGATAACACCAAGGTTGTCGGTTTGATCCCCACATGGGCCACTGTGAGCTGCGCCCTCCCTAAGAGTCAACTATGTCATTGTAGCATGAAAGCAATGTGTAACCAGTGACCATGGCTGTTCTCCAATAACATTTAAAAAAATTATATTGAATTCAGACATATGTTTTATTTTAAACATTTTAAATAATGAATAAAAAACATCCCATAAAAAATTCATCTTTGGGTGTGCAGGTGGTGTGTCTGTGAAGGAGGCACTTCTGTTGAGAACTGGGGACGCAAGGCCATTTCCTGCTGACCTGGGGGAGCCAGGGGAGACACGTAACGCTTTCCTAAACACCAGTTGGGACAGGCTGGGTCTCAGTGTGGATTTGGGGCTGCGAGCAGGACTATCTGACCTGAAGTGCCATGGGAAAAGATGAGAGGGAGCTAGAAAAGTTGCTCCCTGAAGGATCTGAAGGATCAACATACAAACAAGATTGTGTTTTTATTTGCCTCCTGGAATCTTGCATTAACTCATGTTGCTTCTGGTAATTTTCTTTCGTAACTTACTCGAGCAGAAAATCATGAATAGGCTTAGAGAAGCACTCTCCCTGCCTCCTCTGGCACCCCAAAAGGAGTTACTAACATCTCCCAAGCCAGGAAAAGGTGCCAAATAAGTGTTTACTACCAGGCTAGAATGTTTTCAGCGAGCTCAAACCTCCAATAAATGTAAATATAAATAATTTAAATACACATACCAGTAGGAGTTTTTAAGTCATTATTTGCCACAACATTAATTCAGAATCACAACCCTTGAGAGAAGTAAGATTTAGTTTTATAGCTACTGATATATAAAGAAATCATCTTTACAAAATCATAACCATAATAATTATTTTATTTACCTTAGCTTGGATATCCAGCTCCAAGTATTTACTCAAAATCTTCTCTGATTCAGAAAGGCTGGAACCGACATCCATTGCATTGGAAAGTACTTGACTGATTTTCTGAATTGACATTTCCACCTTTAGGAATAAAGAATATATTGTAACCTTGATGATATGTATTTGCGTATATGTATGCATATGTATAGAGAAGATAAACAGTACTCTCTATATTCCCATTATACTTTATATCTCACTTTTACTCTAAAAACAGTTTTAAATATTTCCAAATTTCATATTTAAATTAATAACATTGCTCTCCATGTGAGGTAATACTACTGACTCACTGATAGAGGATATATGTTTAAAGACATTTCTTGTATTGACAGTGATGAGATATAAGCAATCATCCAAGTCCTCTAAGAACTTATTATCTATGAGTATATTACCTAGAAAGTTGCCAACACATCAGCAGAGATTAATTTATCTGATTAATTGAGTCACAACCATCCACTGTAAGTTGAATAGGGTCTAATTTACGGGCACATTCTGAAGTAGAGGTCCAGAACATGAGTATTAGGTCACCTAAGGTTTGCTATTTTTAGGGTTGGGGGGCCCTGGAGCAGCACCAAGCCCTGTACATGTGGCAATAAAACACAGGAATACACCTAGGTGATTTAATTAATAAATGTAGAAGACTATATGTGATCTTCAGTACATAAGAACCGATGAATAAAGTGACCTTTAAAGGTTCTATTACATTCAAGTCACTGCCTTCATCCCTGGGCTCTAACTAGAGTTCATACTTCCCAGAATCCAGCTGGGTCTGAATTGGCAGTAAGACAATGGCCACAGCTGTTGGAGTCCCTACTACATTTTCCACCACCACTGAATTTGCTTGACTCTTAAACTCTAGGGAATGTGGCACCACAGCTGTTGCCATATTTGGAGTCTCCCTGGAACCAGGCATCAGAACAAGGCTCAAATTCCCAAGTTTCTGGATCAATGACAGGTAGGGAGGCAATTTAGATAGGGACGTGGTTATTTAGTGGTTATTTAGACTTCACTCTCCTATGAAGTCTACTAATTCTATTGTGTAAGTCAGGCATAGAAGTCTATTGTACCAAATGAAAGCATCATTGAAAATCTAAGACCCAGCCTATGCAGCAAGGCTCGTTAACATTAATGTCATTGGGACAGTACTAGTTTTTGCTATATATCCTGCCCACAGATAAGTAAATTTTTGTTTAGTCAGATGGTAGCTGTCTAATTTTATTCTTCTTTAAAAATAGAAAATAAAATTCTCCCATGTCAAGCCATGTATTCACTCTGTAGAGGATTTTCACCTGTCAGCTTGTGTTCAGAATGACTGGCCTAGTGCAATAAAACTCATCATTTTTGGTATTGACCTATTCGTTGTCCTTGTATTGCACGATACCAAGTTAACTAAAACGTGTGCATGTTGGAACCCTGCACAAAACCCTGTAAGTCAAGAACTCATTACGCTATGTACCTGGTTAAGTTAATACAGTTCTGCACAAAGCCGGGACTGCCTTTGTGTCTACGTGTTTAGAGCCGGGTGGCAGGTAGGATTACATATCTAGTTTTAAACCTGGGGCTGATGAGCAATAGTGAATTACAGCTCTACTCTGTTCAGTTATTAAAACCTAATGTGGGATGTAAGAGACGCCTCAGGAGACCCGTCCCCATCCTCCCCCCAAGACCACATGCTGGAGTTGCTGTAGCATCTACTATCACGGAATAAGGAGTTCATATAAACAGTAGCTTAAGGAGGACACGTTTTATGAAGCTACCTTCCTTAGGTGGCCCTTCACTGAGGCTGTTAATTGCTGTTTCTTAAGAGCAAATTCCTTGTGCGCTGAACACTGTTCGATCAGATGATCCACTCGTCTCTGAATGCATCCCATCATTTCATGGACACCGGTCACCCGAGAGCTGAATGGAACAAGCCAGCTGTTAGTTTACTCCATCCCCATATAGAAGTCCCAGGAATAAGGAACATTTGAAAATGGAGCTACGCTTTCATGACAAGTCTGCGTTGATAGAAGTTATCAAGCTTCAGGCTCTGGGATAATAGAAGTTAAGTAACTACCATTCTGGTACGGCGGAGAGCAAAACCAAATTATGTTCCTTTGTTTTAGTCAGTCCTGAGGGAAAAGATGAGTTATGGGTTTTGCAACCAGGTCTAATCTCTTTTCTAAAGGTTTACTTTTTAATATTCCTCTAAGATATTTTGAAAACCTTATGGCAAAAAGCACAGTATGTTTGCCAAGAGTTTTCCTGGAGTGTAATATTTAAAACCTTCATTTATCTAAAGGTGCTCTTTGAATAGAAATGGGTATCAACCAATTAACAAACCATTTACTAATCCAATAGGGTAACATATTGATATAACACTGAGGACCTGCTCTCCAAGGTGATGAATGCTCAAGGCTGCATTCATGAGATGGAAACCAGGCTATCACCAGCAATTAGGAATCGAATGCACTACTTGGTCATAAGAAGGAAACCAAGCCTCACACTGTCATTTCCACCTCTGCTGGCCTCGTGTGAAAAGGGCCATGAGAGCTCAAAACCCGAAAATGCTTGTAAAATAACACATGAACCTAGGGTGGGACCCCATTTGCTCCTATCTAAGGATGGATTAGCAAGTTTCCTAGCCATTTCCAATTTAGGCCTACTAGTAATGTAAGACAATGAAAGGACATTGCAGATGGAATGAACACTTCTTAATTTTTTAACCTTGTTCCTAAGACAGAGCCTCTACTACTATGTTAGAAGTTCAAGTCTTTAGGTTCCTGTCAGTCGTTTCCTTCAAATGCTAATAAAGATTAACATGATAACGCTTAAATTTAATTACGAAGAGCTAAAAAAGATCTTGGAATGAGGTACAGATTTCAGTAGTTTTACCTCAAATAATTAATTTATGACTCTGTAAAAATGAATTAAATTAGTAATGAAAGGAGGGCAAGCTCCCAAAGGACTGCCAGGTAAAGTAACTTCATAGGAATGACAATGAGGCTGCCAAAGAGGTGGGAGTTCATCAGGCAGCTTGAGAATCTAATCCGATGAACATGGGATTCCGGTGTGTCCTGTGGGTACCCCTGGAGTCCCAGAGAAGTTCCACTGGGGGGAAATCTTAATCCTGACATATAATGTTCCACAGACATTATACTTAAAACAATCAGTTTTGTATTTTAAGAACTCCAAGACACTGAAGAGTAGAATCAAGAAATCAGGAATGGCAGACTTGATATCTGACTCTAGAGCCCATGTTCTCAACCCTGACGCGCAAATGCCTCTGTGTCCTTAAGGCTGAGAAGGTGCCGAAGAACCCTTCCCTCGCCTCTCGGGAGCATCAGATGTCTCCTCTGCCCCGGCAGCACTCCTGCCACATCCGTTAGACACGATTACCACCTGCTTTGGAGATGTTTCATGTCTACCTTCCCACCAGACACTGGGTATGATGGGGGCTGACGTAATTCTTGAGCCTGCCTGATATCAGAAATGTCACTTTTATGGCTCCCCACGGCTCTCTGGATCAAGAAGCTCCTGGCCTGGCATTGGAAACCCCACAGGATCTGGAACCTTCTTCAGCCTCCCCCATGTCTGAGACTCTGCACCCGCAGCTCTTTCCCTGGGCACACGTCCCCCCTTGGCCTGGTGTGCGCATTCATGCTTCAACATCCAATCCGTGTATCAATTCTTCCCTGACCCGAGGCAGGGTCAGCTGGCCCCTCTTGCGCCTCCAGTGTACCCAGCTCCGTCCCTCCCAGCAGGCACCACCCACCAATAACTGTCTGGGACATGGCCTGTCTGTTGTGCCCAGACCCAGAGTACCTCAAAAACATTAAAGTAAGGAAGGAGAGTAAAAAAAAAAAAGAAATCAGGAGAGTTTTAGAAATAAGTCTTATGATAATTAAGTGCACAAATTCTGTAAAAGCAGCATATTGGTAATACTAATCATATTTTAACTAGGTTTTAGACTTCGAGACATTATATGCTAAAAAGGCACTTAGCCCAGTTGTCCTATATTTTATAGGTTCCAAGTTGTCTATAAGCATGCAAATCTGAGATGAGAAAGACAAAGTGTATAAGCACTGTGGAAAGAAAATATAGAGAACAAAGTTGGTGAAAGTAATTGGGTAAACATTTTCTAAAAACAATTCTTGAGTACTTACTTTGACAGGTCCCCATTTTTAATGTTTTAAGTCATCTCTGTTCTAATTTTCATGACTACACTATCATCTAGGTATAAATGTTATCTCCATTTTGCAGATACACAAACTGAAGAACAGGAAAGGGGGGTAACTTGCCCAGGTCACAGTTAAATGGCAAAGCTGGGATTTAAACCGGTTCATCTGATATAAGTCCACAGTCTTTACTACCCCACAGTGCCTTTTCTAAGTCTGTAACACATGATGGGGAGTGTGTGTGTGTGGGGTGGGGAGTGTTCTTCCTTTAAACTTTCACTCTCCCTGGAGCTGAGTGTTGATGGAAACAGGATTAGTCTGTGTGGCATGCTGTTTTGAAACAGGCTGGGTTCTCTAGGTAATGCAATGTCTGTCTGTAGTTTTCAAAGTGGCCACTAGAGGGCCCCAGTACCAGCACTGAGAAGGAACATAGGGAAACAAAACCAAATCCAGCATTTCTTCTGTAAACATATTGCTCTTCAGCAACTTACAGGTTTAATTTAGATGAACTAAAACCAACCAAATAGGCTCTCTCTCTTTCTGTCTTTGGAAGGACCATTCATTTTTTATTTTCCAATGACCTAGGAGATTCAGTCTCATCTGGTGATTTGTGCCTCATTGTGTGTATCAGTAGCATTATAAATTCTTTAAGAGAATGGTCAACACTCTTTTCATTCATATATCTCTAAGGCCCTGAGCACATAGCCTTCTAAGTAGGAGATTAATGCATGTTTTTAAATAAAATACACTCTGATCAATATTTAAGGGGGAAAAGAAATGTAAGGAACAAGAAGAATACATGCACAGATAGTTACTGTATAAAAATGTCACTAGTCACAGTTTCTAATAGTTTTCAAACAATGATGATTTTGCCCATTGCTCACTTATGTAAGTTTTAGGCTATGCAAAGACTGCCCAATTTCTTCTTTGGTGGCTTAACATTTATAATTAGGTGGACTGATGCGTCCCTCTTCCATGTAAAGCCTTAAGGGACTGACTTGAATTGTCGTGCTCCACTGTGCATTACTGCCTGGCCACTGTGCACTCCGCTCTTACGTGACTTGGACCCCTTCCTCAGTATGAGAAGTTCTCTGTTATCTTGCTTACCCTAGCCAGCTCCTGTTTTCCTCTCTCTGTGTCCCAGCTACATCATCTCCGTCTGCTCTGGCATTAATCTCTTCCCTCTCCCTGATTCCCAGTTGGAATATATCTGTCATGCTCCTACCACCAGTGCCACCCCCTCCGTTCCTTCTTTGTGCAAACTTTATCTGCAGGTTACAACCTATCCTGATGCCATCAATTTCAGTTAGAAAGTTGATACACTGATTCCAAACTTTTCTTTTGAATATCCCCAAACATTTTAAAACATGTATAGCATGCATATTGACAATTTTCTCAGAGTCTGTAAAGCAGATGGTTTGATCAAAGGAAAAATATGACCTCACTCTCTGCCAGCAATTCTTACATGCACTGAAAATAAATGAGTAGATTTCTATCAGTCACCCAGGAATGAGTCCTGGTACTTCACAATCATATGAAATAAATGATGGGACAAGAACTAAAAACGAATAACAGAAACTTGTTGAACAAAGTGCCTGTCATTTTGCTCTGATCATAAAGCCACACTGCGCCTGTGCTGCCTGGCGGGGTGGGAGGGGGCCTAGCCGTGGACTAGACCTCTAGCTCTAAGAGCCTGTGACTGTAGTTTCATTGTCAATACTGATTGACCTTCGGGCTTTCTCTGTAAGAATGGATTCGATGGTGCCTGTCTGTAGTGTGAGTATGAGGCTCATCAGACTATTTCTGATTATGACTTTGACTTTTCCAAGCGTCACAGATGCTCAGAAATGACAGACTGTGAAGGCTTCTTCAGACGTTTGTTAGAAGCTCCATTATGGGTGCATTTTCTCCCTTGTTCGTTGTGTCAGTAGAAGGGAGAGAAGGGGGAAGAAAAATATATTCTTTTTCCCCAAAGAGCAGAAATGTAATGACTTCTGGCTCAAAAATAGACTGTTCTATTTGCTGCATGGAAGCAGTTGCCTTGTCTTTGCATCTGTCACAAATTGGGGCTGGGAGAGGGGAGCAAATCCCAATGTTAATAGGTTCTAATGATTCTTTCTGGAGAACAGCAAGTTGCTTTCAAACCTTTCATAAATTACTATTGGCAGCCCATCTGGATTAGGAGCTGAACCAGATGGTAAGCGCTTGATGGGTTACTCTATCTCATCAGAAGGAGTCAGCTGATCATATTTTTCTTTTTGTCTATGGACAAATTACACTTTAAAAATGAAAAAAAAAATGTATCTTCCTTAGCTTTTACTTGCTGCTTCTTTTGACAGAGACCCAAACAGTGTCCCCTCATGTTTACGATCTTTATTTTGGAGGAAACAACAGTTGTTCTCTAGATTTCACCTCTAATTGGAAAAAATGCCATTTGTGCTGTAGAAGTGAAATGTATGTTTTTACAATTTTTTTTCTGACTCAAGTTGTACACAATCGAGAATCCCTCCCTATCAAACAAATTTCTCTCTCTCTCTCTCTCTCTCTCTCTCTCTCTCTCTCTCTCTCTCTCTCTCTCTCTCACACACACACACACACACACACCCCTTTAATATACACATAACAATGAAGAAACAGAAAGTAAGTGGCACTGAAGCTACAGAGCTCTAGTCCAGATACATCAGAGATATGCACACATTCCATTCCTATGAGCCCACAGAGACCTACATGAAGGGTACCATA